TCATATGCTGGGACACAAACCATGTCTCAGAAAATATGTGAATATAAAAATTATATCAAGCATATTCTCAAATTATAGATATAAAGCTAGAAATTAACCCCCCCCAAAGAATCTCAGAATAAGCTAAAATGTGAAGAATAAATAACCATGATTTTGAATAACTCTTGGATCATGATGAAAACAAAGGAGAAATTTAAAATTATTTGGATACAATGAAAATAGATATGCTGCCAGATCCTTTGGGATGCTCTAAAAGAAATACTAAGAGAGAATTACATAACTCTGAAAGCTCACATCAAAAAAAGAAAACAAGAAAAATACCAAATAAAAATATAACTCTACAACTGAATAAATTAGATAAAGAAGAGCACTTGAATCCCAAAACCAGTGGAAGAAAGGAAATAATAAAAATAGAGCAGAAATAAATGGAATAGAAAACAAAAAGATAGTTCAAAAGATCAGTGAAACCAAGAGCTGAATCTTTGAACAAATAAAATTGACAGGCTGTTAGATAGGCTCACTCAGAAGAGAGAAAACCCAAATAAAAAGAATCAAAATTTAAAAAATTTTGAAATGACAGCAGATCCCACAGAAATACAAAGGATCATGAAATACTCACAAGAAACATAAGGCATATCAGCCATAGATGTATTTGGGGACACAATCCCAGTAGCAAAGGAAACAAAAGCAAAGATTAAACAAGTGGGACAGCATCAAACTCAAGCTTTTATGCTTCAGCAGAAACTCATCACAAAAACAAAAAGTTATCCTCATGACTGGGAGAAGATACTTACCCATCCTATGTCTGACAAAGGGTTAATTCCAAAAATATATAAAATACAGTCCAAAAACAAAAAAAAAAACAATAAAATAAAAAATGAGCAAAAGACCTTAATAGACACTTTCCCAAAGAAGACAATCATGACCTACAAGCAAATGAAAAAATGTTTAAAAAAAAAAGTTCAACGTCACTTATTATAAAGGGAGTGCAAATTAAAACCACAATGAGATCTATCTCACCCCATCAGAATGGCCTCCATCAAAAAGAATGGAAGCAAACATTGGTGAGGATATAGAGAAAAAGGAACACTCATCCACTGTTGGTGGTAGGAAGGCAGTTTGGTGCAGCCTTTCTGGAAAATGGATAGAAATTCCTTTTTAAAAAATTGTAAATACTATATGATCAGCAAATATCTCTGCTAGGCATTTACCCAAATGATATAAAAACACTAATAGAAGATGATGCACTCCTTTATTCATAGCAGCATTAGTCATAGAGCCAATCTTAGTGCCCAACAACAGATATTTGTATAAAGAAATTCTCAATGGAATACTGCTTGGCTATTACAAAAGATGATCTTTTGGGGACAAAGTGGGTGGACCTTGAGGTGATTGTGCTAAGTGACATAAGTCAGAAACTCATCACAAAAACAAAAAGAAAGAAAAAACAAAAAGAGAGAAAACCCAAATAAAAAGAATCAAAATTTAAAAAAATTTGAAATGACAGCAGATCCCACAGAAATACAAAGGATCATGAAATATTCACAAGAAACATAAGGCATATCAGCCATAGATGTATTTGGGGACAATAGATAGATGTATTAGATGGTTTCACTTATCTGTGAAATGTTAATAACCACAAGGCATATACTGGCTAAGCAAAATAGTTCTTAAACTGTAAAAAATACAGTTCTTAAACTGTAAAAAATACAGTTCTTAAACTGTAAAAAATATGCTGGTTACCAGAGGTAATGGGAGGGAGGTTACCAGAAGATAGGGAAAGGAGTAGGGGAGAGGGCACTGGCCCCTGAGGTTTGGTGAATGGTATGTGAAACATGGGCACATAGGGAAGAGTAAAAATGCAACCCAACTCCAAAATTATAGATATGTAAATTATGTCCAATTAATATAGCAAAAGATTAAGAACAGGAGAAATTGAAGGCAGAAATGACTGAAGACATTAAAGAATAGGAAAAAGACAGCAACAATCTTAGTTTGAAATAATAGGATGGTAAGCTGGTTGATGGTAGTGAGAATGAAAACAGAAGGGTTTGAGGGAATCCTCAATTCCTATCCATTTTTAGGAATCAAAATATTATATGTGAAATGCATTTAAGAACAGAAAAAAATCTATATAAATGCACAAATGTGTTCCCCAGAAAAAAAGACAATAAAAAATAAAGTCTGAATGCACAGAACAAATGACATTGCAATGATGAAAAACACAACTTTAAAATCACATTAATTGCTGTGTGTTTAGCATAATACCAAAAATTGGAGTTAAAAAATAAATACGATGTCAGTTCTGCTCTTGGCCCACTGATTCTATGGTGGAGATGGACATGTAAAAGAAAATACAGTCAATTTCTGTTATTTGTCATGTTCTATAAATGTTCTTTGGGAGCTGAATTAGTGAATACTGAACCATTGTTTCTAGGGAAGATGCAGGGTTAGGTTCCTATGTGCCTCTCATCATGTTTTCATTAACCAGTGAATATATAACCTTGTTTTATGTGTGTTTAAGGATACCTTAATACATTTGGTGATTCATAAACATTGAACAACCAACAGTACTGTAACTGCTGCCTGAAGGAAGCTCGTCTGACATATTCTCTCTAGGGTACATCATCAGCTTCTCTGTACTTAGGAACACTTGGTAGCACTTAAACACTATTCAAGGGCAATTTTAGACAGTAATTACCAAGAAAAAGAACAAAAATGTGAAAAACATGGCCTATATAGATCATGAAAAGGAAGGATACTCATTTTCAGTGTGAAGTTAGAACAAGAAGGCACTGTGTTAGATCTATGCTGGGGATACACATGGCAGGCACATTTTTTGCCCACATGTGACCAAAGACATACAGTATTGATTTGGGGGTTAAAAATAAATTTTAACAAGTAGATGAATTCACAAATAAGGATCCGAAAATAATGAGGTTTGACTACAGTAAGTGCTGTAATTTTAAATGTGCTAAGATGGGTCAGGAAAGATTTCATTTGAAACAATTAAGATAAAGTTACAGTAGCTGAACCAATGAATTTAGAAAATAGTAAATGACCCTGTATAGCTGGAATTGAAAGGGGCCCACTAAGTAGAAGGGACGTTTAAACAGCTGGAGGAGGCAGGTAGATGCAAGGCCCTTATTAAAAAATTTGGATTTTGTAAGTGATGGGAAATCAGTGAATGATACTACCCGCAGGAGAAACATTGAATTTGAATAGCTTATTCTAGTGGTGGTGTTGGGAATAGATAAAATAAGGAAAATAGAGATGCTAGAAGTTAGGGTGATATGATGAGCTTATGAACTAAGGCAGAGCCAGTGGCAATAGAGAAAAAAGGGAATATATTTGAAAGATAATGCAAGATATTAAGTTGAAAGGTCTTGGTAGCAGGAGGGAATAAAGGAGGGACTAAAGGACATTGGCCAGGAATGCCTGGGTGCCATTAGTTGAGATAGGAAACAAAGGAGACAAGACATATTTAGGAAATAATGTAATAAATTGTTGGCTTGTTGAGATTATGATTCAATGGAACATCTTTAAAGAGATTAGGCCAGAAAATATGAGCTCAAATCTCAAAAGTTAGAATGTTGCATTTATTGATAAATATCTGAATGCCTGCTGCTTATGAAAACACTGTGCCACCTGCTTAGAGGAGATAGAACAATGAGTGGATTTCTAGTGAGGGGAGGCAGACAAGCAGAGATACTTTCAGGTAGTACTATGAAAATAAAAGTAACGGAGAGAGGGTGATTGAGGGTGTGTGCAAAGGAGGGACCTGTTGAGATTGGGTGTTGGATTCACTTTCTGTTGAGATGACATTTATATTGAGAAAAAAATGAGATTAAAGGTATGCATGTGACTATCTGGGAAGATCATTTTGAGCAAAGAACAGAAATAAATAAATACGGGTAGAAACTGGGCATGTTTGAAGATCAGAAGGGAAGGTCACTGTGACTGGAGATGAGATGAGAAGGGGGAGAGAGTTGGAGAAGGAGAAATCTGGCATGTAGGATGTAAGGTCATAAAGGCTCTTGTAGGCCACAGTCAAGAGTTGGGATTTTTTTTTTTTTTAAGTATAGCAGGAAGCCTTTGGACAGTTTTAGCAGAAGAGTAACAAAATCTGTTTCATGTCTTAAAATAATCCCTCTAACACTCTGGATAATATTGTTGAGAACTAGTGTGAAGGTAAGGGTGGTGACTGTGGTAGAAGGACAGAGATGATGGTATGCATGATAACAATGAGGCATAAGAGAGTCCAATTTTGAGTCATTTAGATTGCTTTTTTTTTTTTTTTTCAGTCATCTCCATCGGAGCTGAATTTAAGAACCAGTTTGTCACTGGATCCATTATGAATTCTGGGTATTTTGTAAGGGCAAAATCTGTTAATGAAAATTATTCTAAAAGTCTAGTTTTCAGATGGATTCAAAATTTGAGAATACACATGGCAGTGATTTTATAGTCATGTTTTATGTTTATTTGCTTTTTAGCACGTAAAACACTTTCAGGCCATTCTACAGGCTCATTTTTATTTTCTTTAAAAATAAATGAGCCTTTGTCCTGCTAGGTTAATTAGTGATTAGGTCACTAAAATTTTATTCAGGGCTACTGCATTGTGAGAGCAAATTAGGAACATTATTTATTTGAGATATTTAAAGAAGAATCTCTAAAGATGTATTGATAGCTTTTCTGATGCTAAGCCCTGTACATTAGAATATTTTTTGGACACAGTGTAGTATGGAGCAGTAAGGTGAGGAAAGACTGGGGATTAGCAGACCAGTTAAGAGGTTTTTAAAATTGTGAAGGCAAGAGAAGATGAAAACTCTTAAACCAAATGTTAGAGGGTAGAAATTGTGATGAGGAGGTATATGAGACTTTTATAAAGCAGAATAAACAGATTTAAAGGAGAATTAGACACCTGGAATTTAGGGAAAAGGGAAAAGAATCAGATGCTTTTGAGATTTTAAGCTTTAGAAAAAGTGGGTGGTGATGTCATAATTAACATGAGAGTTAGAATTTACAGTACAGGAGTTGACTTGAGCAGGCTCAGTAGTATAAATGCAGAAGTATCAAATGAAGAAAAAATATTGAAGTTATGGAAGGATGACTGTGAGGTAGCAGCCTCATAGAGGAGGAGGGATGTATTTTCTCCTACAGTTTGAGAAAAAGAGGTAATTAATGGTGCTGATGTATTTAATTTTACAAGTAGAGGGAAATATCAGTACATCTTAAATGAAAACCTCCTTTCCTTTCTGACAAAATAATCTGCTGACTATTTAGAGTAATAAAATATTTGAAAAAGGAAAGTGGAAAGGACCCAAGAAGGGACAAAGTAATAGAATTATGAAGCAGTATTTGGGACTTTGCTGACAGTTTAAACATATTGAAAAATGACAGACCTGATCACCTCATGATTTTGTCTGGGGTTACCTGTGTTAAAATGAGTGCAGGTAAGAGACAGCTGGGTGACTAGAAAAATATTTGAATCACTAAATCTAATGTAAACTACACCATTTGTGTAATTTTATCAAGCCAAAGCATATAAAGAAAATTATGTTAAATCAAAAAAAGGATCATATTAAAAGAACTTATAAAACATTCTGCAATATTTCAAGCAATATTTTTATGTATATTTTAAAATTTTATGAAAGACAAATGATCATATTTTTAGTCCATATTTTACCAATATTCTTAAAACATGGTATCCAGATCAGCCCTTAACTAGAAAGCCTTCTTAGAAATTAATGGCTGGAAAGGATATTCAGTTGTGTCTGTTGTTTATCCTTGGCATGATGAAATTTGCAATGAGAAAAATACCAAATTAATACCAGTTTTCAGATTTCATTGCATCTACTTTTTTTAGCACTTTGAATGTATTGCATGTTATGTTCCTTACCTTTCTTACGAGAGTTTTTCCAATAAATACTGTTCATTTGAGATGTGCTATAATTCGCTGCTCTCACCAGTTAGCATCTCTTTGATTTTATAACCTGAAACTTGTTAATAATTATTAAGATTATTCTATGCTGGTTTTTCATCTGGATGCATAGGATGAAAGATTCTAATTGAACTACTGCATTCTATGCAAGGATTCCCTATGTAAGTTGGATCCTGTGTTCCCCTATTTTCTTACTTGACCTTTCTTGCCTGTAAAATGTGACTACATGGCATTATAACTTTGGGGAAGAGAATTTATTTCCCATTTCTACTTCATCAGAAATACATTTTTGTGCTTATTAAATGCAGTGCTTTCTACTTTCATGTAATTTTTGGCTCAAATCTTTTGAAGTCTGATATAATTAGAAGTGAGCAAAAACTTAAGTATTATATGAAATAAGAATAAAATATTCCAAACTGATAGTTAATTCTAGTAGCTTATAAAATATTTTTACTTTGAGAGATCTGTATCAATTTAGTGTAACATAATACTCTGATATGAATTGTATTTGGTTATAGGTCAGTGATATGAGCTCCAAAAATTGAGCTCCAGAGTAGAATTGATAATTTGTGAGGTAAGGAAAATAAATTTTTTAGGTTGACACTGGATAAACATGGCGGTTGGTAGAAGTAGTTTTATGATCAGTAAATAGGTTTGATTAAACATTCCCTTTTGTGTAAGTTAAATCCTAACACTAAAGAGAATATACATATCTACTATTTTGACCTTTTTAGCTCATACTTTTGGCATTTAGCTCCACATCAGTAAAATACATGCTTATGGTGCTGATTTTTAAGTTTTTGGTTTTAGAAAATGAGGATTTAGCATTTTTCCCACTATAACACCACTACATATATATCTGTCATGTACACTTGTGATCCCTCAATTCTTCCAACATAATTATATTTGATCGGTTAATTCATTTGTAAACACTCATTTTTCCTATTTCTGTATTTTTATTTTCTTGTAGTTAATAATTTTTTGCTTTATTTTCAATATATAGTAATTATCACTATTCAGTTACCCAAACTCTGCTAGCATTTAAAATTATAAGTAGATTTATTTAAATTTCTCAACTTCATTTTCTTGAAGATGCATTCTGGGAACTCTTGACTTTCCCAGTATGGATTCATTTCTTCTCCATATCTGGTACATTCTTGTCACCATATTCCTAGGAATTACCTTTGCTTTTCTCCTGGGTTGTATCTTCTAGTTTCTGTATTCCATATCCGTACTTTCTATACTTTGTTCTTTATTTCATGTTCAGAGGGTAGCATATCTTTTTTTTTATGTGAAAAAGTGTGTGATAGGTTAATTTTGTGAAATCTTACAAGCAAGTCTGAAAATTGTTTTGAACTACCCTCACACTTGATTGAGAATTTGGCAGGGTAAAAACTTTTAGACTGGAAATTTTTTTTTAATTTAAATTTTATTTTTATATTCCCCATACAATTACAACCCCCTTATTTTGACCCCAATCCCTCCTTTCCCCGCCCTCCACCCCCCCCCCATAGAGTGTCTCTGGTCCATAGATGTTTGTTGATTTTGATATTTTCTTTCTTATAATTATTCTTTTTCCTGGTCCCTTATTTAAGTTTTCTAGGTTCCTGCTATGAGTGAGACCATCCGGTATTTTTCTTTTTCTTTCTGGCTTATTTCGCTGAGCATGATCCCTTCCAGCGCCATCCATGTTGCTGCAAATTGCATGTGTTTCTCTTTTTTGAATGCTGAGTAATATTCCATGGTGTATATGTACCACATCTTCTTGATCCAGTCATCTATTTTTGGGCATTTGGGCTGTTTCCAAAGCTTAGCTATTGTAAACAGTGCTGCTATAAACACAGGGGTGCAGGTGCTCTTTGGAATTGATGTTTCTGTGTCCTTTGGGTAAATACCTAGGAGTGGAATCGCTGGATCATATGGAAGCTCTATGTTTAGTAGGTCAAGAAATCTAGACTGGAAATGTTTTTTAAGGCATTTCATCATCTTCTGTCTTATGATGTTGTCACCGAAAAGTTCAAAACCACTTTGGTTCCTAATTCTTGATGTGAGTGATTTTTTTTGTCTTTGTCTCTAGTGTTCTGAAATTTCACTATTATGTGTCTTGGTATGAGTCTATTTTTAATTTAACTTGTTCTGCTCTCAGCGCCCCATTTAGTTCAGCAATTCACAGTTTTCAGTTCTAGAAAATACTAAACTTTTCATTAGTGTTATTTCCCCCTCCATTTTGTTGCTGTTCTTTCCAGAACTACCCTCATTTAGATGCTCTCCATCAGCTTCTCTTAAATTTTTCTGTTTTTCATTTCTCTGCTTTTCATGGTATTCCCTCAAATTTATCTTATGTTATTTCTATTGAAATTTTTATTTCTGCTTTTGTGTTTATATTTTCAAGAGCACTTTTGTTTCCTCTAGAATTTTACTCTCCTACAGCAGTCTTACTCTGTTTTCATGCATACAGCATTATCTTATGTCTCCAAGAATTTTAATGACTAATTTTCTTCACCCTGAATAGTTCCATTATTTCAAGTAGATTTTTTTAACCTGTTTGATTATTTATTTTGATCTATCTTTCATGTTGTAGGCTTTTATCAGCCATCTCATTTCCCAGAGTTATTAGCTCGTTGTTGAGAATGGAGAACTAAAAATATGAAGGCTTCTTAGCCAAGTGACTGGATTGCTTAGGGCATTGATAAATATGTCTTTCCTCTTAGCCTGGTCCAATTCTCTGGAGAAGACTCCTCCACCTGGAAAGTAAAGACCATGCTAAAGGCCTGAATAATTGGAAGGGAGAAGCAGATGGAGGCATTCGTTGTCTTAGTATTCAATAATCACATTTCTCATATAATATCATTGTTCTTTGTTTGGAGGCATGCTTTACTCTCTTCAGAAAATCCTCCACTTTTCAATCCTATGTGTTGGAAGCTGAGGAACAAATATTACCATGCAAAGCATAAGGAGTTGAATTATTATGAAAAATCAAGCAAATAATCAGTAACGCCAACAAAGTTAAAGTACAGAAATGAGAAAAGTAAGTACAGTTTACTAACAGATCAGCTAATGAATACTGACCTGACATTGTCTGAGTCTCCATATTGTATTTCCTTTCACCTTAAGTACCTTACACTGCTAATTTATGAGCCTTTGGAAGACTTTGTGTACATGAAATGATTTTCTATTTTCTCCTCAGCTGATTTAGAGATTGGTCTCTTTGGGTCTGCTAAGTCAATTACTCTATGTTTTATAGCTTCCAGATTCATCTTTTCTCTCATTTGCAAATATATATTTCTCTCATATACAATCATATATTTCTCCCATTTGCAAATAAATGCCTTTAAAAATAAAATTACAAACACATCTTTATTGTATTTTAGAGGGGCTTTAGGTGAGAGCAAAATTAGATGACTTTAATTTATCTTTGTATGGAAATATTGATATTTATCCTTTTGAATGAAAATTTCACTTTGCTTTTGTATTTCTACTAATTTTTCTTTTAAGCTTGGCACTTCATTTTGTCAAATCCTAACATTCCAAAATTTTGGATTATTTTGGGGAAATAGTTTCTGCTAGAAAAGCAATCTTAATTTTTAATATTTAACTATAACTTAGGTGAAAGAATCTGTGATTAAGAGCACCCTTCAGCTTTCTCTTCCGAAAGAAGAGTGTTAGCTCAAAAAGCCACTGCAGCCATCCACATTTTGCTTTAATTTGAATTTTTCTTTAGATTTATTGAGTGTTAACACCAAGAAGTGAATTGGTTTCTTTGAGATACTGCTGCTATTACAAACTCAAGTTAATCCCAGAATGACATTAAATTTTACTTGCTCTGTGCCAGTTGTTGAATATACAGAACTTTGTCTCTTTAATTTGAACTGAAAGCTAGGTAATAAAAAGGAGAGAATAGTTCAGAATGTTAATATACACACAGTTGACTATTTACCAAATGTTTGTTAAGTACTTCTTTTATACTTGGAGCTATAAGAGAAAGCTTTTGTTTTTTGAGAGATTATAACTTAATACAGAAACAGGGAATACATATGACATGCCTAGTGAATGTTGGGAAACCGCTCTTTCCCTTTGTTTTATAAGAGTTCTTATTTAAAAACAATTGGGAAGTAGAAAAAGAAATTATGGATGTGTTCCCATTGGATCTTGGGTTCATTTATTAACTGTTGTCCCTTTCTTGAAATTACATAATGTATAGTGGCATAATTAGAATCTGCATCTATTATTACACTTCCTTCAGCATTTTCTAGCATTGTTTTTTTTAAGATTTTTTATTTATACAAGAACCGGCGTACAGGCCAGATGTGTGGGAGGGGGCGACTCTTCACCAGAGACAGAGTGGGGAACAGAACAGGCAGACTGACTGAAATACAATTACTGAGGGGAGCAGCAGGCGAGACAGGAGAGGTCTGCTTTGCCATGTGGGATTCTCGCTGGCTGGCCAGGATCGAACCCACACCGCAGAGCCTGCGGGCAGCTTCACAGCTCTATGCTCAACCACCTGCGCCACCAGGGAGGCCCATTTCTAACATTCTTGATAATTGCTTTTAACCTTAAAAGATTACTTTAAGCAAAGAAAGCAAGAGAAAAAAGAAGTAATTTGGAAAAAATATATATATATTTAATACTTCCATTTCTTTCCTTTCAAGTTTCAGTAAATACATTTGGTTCAATGGCTATTTACCTTTTGCACTCTAGGAAGATGGAGATAGTGAAATTGAGTGATGAGAACTATCATAATTCATTATTCATCTGTAGCGGCCAACATATCTAGACCTTTATAATGGCAGATAGTTTTTAATGGCCGTTTCTGAACATTAGTATTAATTTTATTTCTCTCATCCATTCTTACAAGCACCTATTTCAGTCTTCTGCTGTTTCTGAAGAAGTCATTAGTAGAAACATAGTTTCTTCCTCTTACTAAAATTTGCAACTGCTTCTAAGTTTCTCAAGGATATTTTTGTTTCCTTTGCTATGTCCAAATGGCATGGCTATAGGAATGATGAGAAATGATTGGTGTTGACCCATAGACATTTGTCTCTGTTCTCCTTCAGGACTAAACTCATAACAAAGTGTGTTGCATAGTGGCAAGTCTAGGACTAGAAACAGCTTTTCTCACACCCGTTACTCTCCATTGACCAAACTAGATTAAAGGAAAAGCAGAGATGAACACTGAAGTGACTAATCTGGATGGGAGGCAGTGAACAACTATCCTAATAATGAAACTAAAATAAGATAGCCTGTATATTTACAATGGTATGTAGGCACTATTCAATGATGGAGGAATTACAAAGAATAAGGGAATGTTAAGACTTGTACCCCTGATACTACTTGATGGCTTTGATTAAATTAGCATGTGTAGGTGTATATTTATATTAGCAGAAAAGTCTGAAAGAACTCTTATGAAACAGGCTCTTAAAGTAAAATATTAAGAAATTCTTCCTCTGTCACTTAGTATAAATTGAAAAGGTTGTCTGTGTTATCACTTCACAATTGTGGTATTGGTGATACTATGTCTAGTGAGGCACAGCTCTTTAGGATGTTCATTGTGGCGTGATTTGAAAAGATGGGAAAAACAAATAGCCTCAATGTTTCTTATCAGGAAAATGGCTAAATAGCCACTTTTCAATGAATAATCTACAAGAGTAAAAATAGTTTGGGTTTTATATGACCTACCATGAAAAATTCTCCAAAACATATTTTTCTGTGGGGGTTAAAAAGTCATAAAAATAGTATTATTTGATGTTTATGTTACTAGTATTCTAGTAGTGGTGGCATGAAGGCCCCTCAGCAAAGAAAGAAAAAAAAACTGGACAAAATTATTGAAAATTAAGGGCCACCGGAAATTGGACAAAGACACTTACAAATTGATCTTCCACAGCTGTTACAGTTTGGTGTAAAAACTGAGTTTGTGACATTCCCGGGCCTTTTCCCAGATAATCGCCCCAGACTTCCCTCCTCAGTAGGTGAGAACTGAAACTTTACCCCCTTGCAGCAAGCTGAGAAAAACAACAGGTTTGCTGCCAAAGAATTAGGAGGTGACTTGATTCAAGGAAGAGAAGAGTGAGAGGGGACACAAAAACCTGTGGTTTTGTTGGTGGAAATGGTCACTTTGGTTGGAAACATCTGGAGAAACCTTGCTGTTTTGCTTGCTCAAGGTTGTGTGTCTGTGAGTAGTGGGCCAGTTGGAAAATCTTAGACAAGAGCGAGCCATAGGTGGGCTCAGATGAACCTCAATGCAGCCCTGATTATTAATTGGGAGGTATTGATACACATGTGGAGCGGGGACCTGAGAGCACCTGGCAAAATGTTCAAACTGAGACTCACTAGAGAACTAGCTGCAATTTGGGATGCATTTCCCTAAGTAGACACAAATCAGTGGTGGATGGTGGAAGTCCTACTGGCTTGAGATGTCTGAGCACAGACTTTGCCCAAATCATTCCCTGACCACTAAGCTGTACAGACAGACCCAACCCCCAGGGAGCCAGGCTAAAGTATAAAAAAGTAAGACTTAAAAAACTGAATAGAGATGTCTTAACTGCTTATCATGGAAGGAAACAGATCTGCAACTTAAGTCCACGTTAGTGACTAAAAAACCCCAACAGCTCTGAAAAAGAAATGAATCCAGAATTACTTTAATATATTCAGAGTTCAACTTTCAACCCAACTTTCAACTTTCAACTTTCCATGAACATGGAAAAAAAAAGAAAAGAAAAACCAAGAAAGTTGTGATTCATCATCAGGAAAAACAGTCAATTTGTAAACCTCAGTGGGCTTGATGTTGGATTTAACAAAGACTTCAAATTTGCTATTTAAATATGTTTAAAGAATAGAAGACACTATGCTAATAACACTCACCACATAGGGAATTTTAATAGAGAAACAAATTAGAAAGGAAGCACCACATAGAAATTTTAGATTTGAAAAGTACAGTAATTGAGATGAAGGATTCATTTTGGATAGGCTCAAATCAGATTTGAGGAGGCAGAGAAAACATAAAAATAAAGTATTAAAGAAGAGAGACAAGGTAGGGGGAAAGATGTAAGGAAGAGTGTTATTTTTATTTTTTAACTTATAGACTCATGGGATGATGTCAGGTATTTCAATATACACCTAATAAGAGTCCCAGATAAAAAAGGAAGGAGCAAAAGAGATAGAAAAAAAAAATAGTTGAAGAAATGCATCAAATCATGCCAAGTTTGGTGGAAAATATAATTTATAAAGAAATAAGATAAAGTAAACACCCTACAACTCTACCACTAAGTGAAGCTATAAAAATCTAGGAATGACCAAATGCAGACTGAAAAATGAATAGTAGCAAGTGGACTGGATAATCAGATGTATAAGTACCATTGAAATAGGGTGAGTTGACCTTTTTTCTTTTTGCTTTGGTAACCCTCAGTGTAGCCCCAGATCCCAAAATGAACATCAGACTGGACAGAAAACTCCAGAAACCTTCTAGTTCTGACTTAGAGAGCAAGATGCTTAGCAAGAGTGCAGGATTTTTCTCTTCTGTGTTCTCTGGCACCCAGCTCCCAGAAAATCATTTGACAAAATCATTTGTTAGGAGCCTAATAAACTTCAAGGAAGGGAACCTTCCTCTTTAATTGCAGTTACTGTATTCCCTGCTTTTTCCTCTCTGTTTTCTCCAGCTGCTCAGGTCATGAGCACAGTTGTAGGAAGTACATGGCAGAGCAGCTTAAAGTTCCAGATTTCTGGCAGGAGAACAAATCAGGAGCAACCAGAGAATCAGAAGTACCAGGCAGATTGCTGAAAGGGAGGAGATCTGGAAAGAGATGCCTTAGGGTGAAGTTGCTTATGTACTCTTGGGCTGTGAGTGTATGGCTCTGGTCCTGACAGCATGCACAGGTGTTGAGAATAGAAATACCAAGAAAGCCCCACCTAAGTCCCAGTGTATTGATAATGTATGTGTGGGACAGATCCAGGTACACAACGTGAAAGTTGTCAACAGTTTAGTAGTTTTTCAAAAGTTAAACTCACTTACCATATTGACCCAACAATCCC